GGGGCACGAACCCGCGTCCCCTGCATCGGCAGGCGGACTCTCAACCACTGCGCCCCCAGGGAAGCCCAGTATGCTCATTTTTGATAGGATTGCTTTAATTTCTGATATTTCCTTACGTACTGTTCTGTTTCATGGGTCCTTCTATTCTGGTCATTAAAACGTTTTCATTATCGATTTAATAATGTTATGTTTTTCAGTATTTATTTTTTTCACAGAAATTAGGGTGAAGTAATCATGTGTACACTACAGTCAACCTAATCATGTTTTGTGTTGTATATTTGTTGATTTTAATTTTATTATTATAACGAATGCTACAAAGGTTATCTCTTACTATGTTTAGGATTATTTCCTTAATATAATGGCATAGAAATGAAATTATTGGGTCAGTGAGTATAAACATATTTAAAACTCTTAATATTTATTGCTATATTGCTTTTCAAACAGATATCGATTTAGAATACCACTGTCAATATATAAATGTTATACTGCCTACTTATTTTTATTATCTTTTTAGGTTTCTTGTAATCATCCCTTACCGAAAGGAGAATGTAAAGATGTCCAAAACCAGCTACCGGAAGAGGAGCCAATGACAGTCTCTGAATATTTCTTTAGTGATATCTTTATTGAAGTGGATGAAACAGAATAAAAGTCTTCTCTTTTTTTCTTTTTTCTTTCCTAAGGCTAGGATTTCCACAGTCAGTCATATCAACAAAGCAGTATCTATAGCAAAAAGCCTCACTGGCAATTTTTCTTTAGGTTGATTTTGAATATTTGATAGGCTTGATTTGAAGCTTTTATAATCAGTGAAAAACATTGCTGAGGTTCCTTTCGTTCTGATTGATTCAGCATTTTGGAATTACCAAGCAATTAAGACTGCTTTCTCAGACAGAAGTAACAGCTCTTGTTTACATTTTGACTCTTCCTGTGTTGAATACACATGGACACCTTGGAATGTTGTGGATAAATGTCTGTATAAATCACAGTCCCGATGTATTTGGAGATGGATTGTAGTTAACATTTAGCAAACCTTTTGTGAAGGTTTTTTTCTGTTTGTTTAGTGTTTTTTGGTTTTGTTTTTTGTTTTTTTGGATGGTGAAGGCCTTTTCAGTTGCCTCTAAGTGTGTGAAAGGAAATTGTGAAACTCCACTTTAGTATGGTAAATGTTAAAAACTTTTCTATTATCAGCTATTTGACTGAAAAATGTGTATTTTTCTAATTCATGTTGATGTAACATTAGTCCTAATTGAAGAACTAGTATTTAAACTTACTATTTATAAAGATAAAACATCAAAAAGCTTATTTATTTTTAAATTTTTTATTTAAAAGAATATTCAGTTTTAATTATTTTTACCCCTGAGATTATGGGTAAAGAAAGCATTAACAAATTTATGTTTGTCTCCTTTCCCTCTTTAATTTTAAAGGTATTTAAAGTGATGAAACTAAATTGTTTGGATAGTATATACGTTTTGAGTACCATTTTTTTCTCATAGTTTAGTATATTGACTTTGTACTGTGAATTTTTTGTTTTTCTTATTTCTTGGATAATCTCAGGATTTGTATGGGAAAAAAACCCTTAACTTTATTTATGAGGCAAATTTCCATACAAAACTCTGTCTCCATTACACACACATATGCTCACATACACACATTCCTTTTTTAAAAAACAATTTCTTGGTAGTTTTTTTTCCCCCATTAAATTCTCCATGAGGAACTAAGTACTTAGACCTTTATGCACAGAACATAATTGTGATGTTAAAAACAGAAAATAAGATAATAAGACTTTATTAAGTCAGTGATTATCATCAATATGAATTTAAGGGTTGGTTTTAATTTTGAGATTTTGTGATTTACATAGGTAATTCTGTTACCCACCCAAGCAAATCTTTGGTGGTTCAAATTAAACTTCTGAAAGAACAGATTTATTCTTTTATTTGAAAAGCCTTCTGGGTTGATAATACATTAGATCAGGAGTCAGAAACATTTTCTGGAAAATTTTTCGAGTTTGTGGGTCAGATGCCCTATGTGGTAACTACTCATCTCTGCCACTTCAGTATGAAAACAGCTACAGGCAATACTTAAATGATGGACATGGATGGGTTGGGATTTTAGTTTGACCCATACATTAGACAGTAGTTTTCTAACCTTAAGGTGCTGATGTCATTACCTATGAGCTATTCTGTCACTGGAGTTGTGAGTTGTGCCTAACACTTAAACCCTTGATTGCATTATGAAATCAGTATTTCAGTTGGGAAGATATTTTAATGTCTAATTCTGTTTGTAATTTGAAAAAAATGGTGGCCAGTTTTCAAGTTCATTAGTAAAATTGGATTTGGCTTGGCAAGTATAACAGTAATCCTAATTTATGAAAACAATTCATATTAGAGCATTTCTTATTCATTGCCTTATAGTGAAATTTGCAGTTTAAACTTTTTTGTCATAAAGGAAGATCTGTAAGGAAATTCTCTATAGATACGCATTTATTTATTTCATGGGGTTAATATGTCACAGAAATCATAGTAGCAAATCACATAGCTATTTTAATGCCCTGTTTTTATAGATTTTAAAAATCTCATATTCTGAAAAGGCTTCTTTCATTTAGTTCATGTTAGTTTGGGTGTTAGGTTGTCATAGCTAAACTATTATTTTATCCCTTGTTTAATATTACTTTTTAACTTTGTTAACATCTGTCTCTTGTTCATCTACAATGAGCTAATTTTATGGAAGATGTAACTTCTTACTGTATGAAGGATAATTTTGTCTTTGGGCATTCATTGTGTTAGAGAATCAAGTCAGACAACTAAATTATCCTACTATTATATCCTTAAAACTACTCTTGGAAAAAGAAACTTAATCAGTGTATTTACCTTACAAGGTGGAAAGACTTGTTCACACCTGTGTTTAATCTGACTCATGTAAAGATGATGTTGTGAAGAATTTGTATTTTATAAATTAAAAGAGATATGATTAAAGGTCTGTATTTTTTTCTTGACTTTTCCTCCTAAACACTTACGTCTTAGCAAGTGATCAACATGATGGCTTCAAAGCCTAATTGTTGGTAAATGATTGAGGCACATAAAAATATGAATATCCACTGTTTACCACCATGTTTTTTGAAATAGAAGTGACCATGTATACTATCTTGCTTGAAGAAGTCTTTGACAAAAAGCAATATCTGTCATTGTAAATTTTCTTGTTCTAAAGAAAGCAGTTATATTCTATAGATGTAAATTATGTAAATAAAAGTTATTTTATATTTCTGTTGTGTCCTTTTTTTTCAAATTGACTTAATAAAGATATTAATGTGTTAGTGAGCAAAAAATAGTTTTGTAAGTACAGCTTACCCTTCCTTCCTTCCATGAGAGTATAGTATATTTGGGAGAATTAATTTTTTTCTTATGTCCATGCTCTGAAGGATATTATTTTGATTTTGCAAGAATAAAAATAGACTTTCCCCCACATTTGGGACATAAGAAGAGTCGCTTACTTTTTTGTTTATTTGCTCCTTATGCAATGAATTTTTGGCTAAAAGAACTCAATCTCTTTTACTCTTTTTTTTCTTCCCACTTTTTTTTCTCTGTAGAGAAAGACAAATGGGAAACTTTAGTTATGGATATACTATAAACCTGAACTTTTTATATTGTCAGTTGACCTTTTATTATGGTATATAAGGATTTTACTTTTTTACAATTCTCCTCACACGTTTCCTGCTTTCTCCCAATGTTAATCACAATTTGGGGTTAATCCATATTCAGTATTTGTACTGTTTTAATTGTAATTTTTCACTGCTGTACCACCTAATGAACTAAGACGACATTTCCTTTCTGGTACAACTTTTCGTTTTTCTTGGAATTAAGAATTGTTTCACTTTTTCCTTTGCTTTGGGTTTGTTTTTGAACCTATGGCTTAACTTTCAGCATCCTCTGGCAAGTCTGTTTATACTTAGTTATAAATGCTCTGTTTATACTTTTCACATGGTCAAGCTGTCAGATAAACTGTTTCCTTCTCTTTTTTCCTGGAAAACTTTATGGAGCTCTTCCTTCCTGCTTTAATCTGGACTGAGGCTTCACAGGTCTCCATGTGCAATGCAGCTGCCATGCTGTGACTTCTCTGAATTCCCTACCCATCTTTTCTGGTTTGGATTCCCTATTCTGGAGCCAGTGTCATTGTCTTTCTTGAGGAGATGCACGTCTTCCACTGTTTACTGCAAAAGGGTGCATGGATGATAACATAACTTGAGACTTTACATGTCTGAGAGTTCTTTATTCTACTCTCTCACTTAGTTGGGCTCTGAATAGAATTCTTGAATAATTTGAAAATAATTTCCACTTCATTTCAAAGTCATGCTCTGGTTATATTCTGGTTTTCAGTGTTTAAAAATCTTTTGCCATTCTGATTCTCTATCCTTCGAATGTGGCCTATATACGTATTCTTTGACCCTGGTATTCTGCTCAGTAATGTGCACCCACCCTTTCCTGCCCCTACATTCATGCTGCTGGGCATGTCATGGGCCTTTTTAAATATGGAAACTCATTTCCTTCCCTTCTGGGAAATGTTCTTGCATTATTCCTTTGATAATTTCTCTCTTTCACTTTCACTGTTCTTATATCTGGAATTCCTATTAATCAGATTTTTTAATCTCCTTTACTTGTTCCCTAAGTTATCTTTTCTCTGCTATTTTCCATTTCTCCACCCCCTTCTCTCTCTCCTCATTTTTTTGTTCGCCCCTTTTTTTGCGGGGGGGGGAGATTTTCTCAATTTTTACTTCTATTGGAGAAAAATCAAGTGTCAATTCCTTTTTAGAAGTAACTTTGTTAGTCACAAAAGCCGTACAGAGAAGGCTAAGAATCTTGATGCTTCTGATTAACAAATGTGCAGAACCAAAGTCACAGAATGGGAATCATCCTTTGACCTTAGTTCATAATTTTGAATCAACACAGTTTTCTGCAATGAACGTTTTTAAGGCATAATTTACATTTAATAAAGTAACAGATCTTAAGCTTTCAGTTTAATTACACCTGTGTCCCACCCCACAAGACAAATAGACATTTCCATCATCCCAGAAAGTTCCTTTAAGCCCTTTCCCCACTGCCACCCACAGATTAGTTTTGCCTGATCTTGAGCTAATTTATATATATATGCAGTATATGAACTTATGTATACTTTTGTATCTGTTTACTTTTGCTCAACACATTTTTGGGATTCATCCATTTTTGTAGCGTAATAGTAGTTCCTTGTTGCTAAGTTGTACTCCATTTTATCCATATACCACATATGAATATACCATAATTGCTATCAATTTTCCTACTGATTGTTTCCGATTTTTGGCTCTTTTGAATAAAGATACTATAAATGTTGTACAAATCTTTTTGTAGACATGTTCTTATTTCTCTTGTGTAAATGCCTAGGAGAGGCACATCTTTTAGATTTATTTTTTAAGTACTTGATGTTCTCTGACGCCTTTATAAATGGTGTTTTTTAAATGCTTATTTTCATTTGTATGTTTATTGCTGGAACATAGAAAAACAGTTGATTTTTGTATTGCAGTTAAGATTTTAACAAATCGGGAATTCCCTGGCAGTCCAGTGGTTAGGACTCCTCACGCTTTCACTGCCGAGGTCGTGCGGCATGGCCAAAAAAAAAAAAAAA